AAAAGGTATGGTGATGTAGCAGTAGGCCCCGAAGGGCGTGACGAATGAAGTCTTCAAGCAGTCGGATTCCTTTAGTCGGATCTGATGATATCCTGAGTAGCAATCCAAAAAACTGAGTAGCTTGCAGCCGGCCGTTGAGTCAACTACCTGTTCAATGCGAGGCAACCCAAAGGGATCTTTAGGACAAGACTTGTTGAGGTCGGTATAATCGACGCACATGCGCCATTGTCCCGTCTTCTTCTGAACCAGGACTGGGTTGGCCAGCCAGTCGGCATGAAGGACTTCCTTGATGAAGCTTGCTGTTAACAGCTTGGTCAATTCCTCCTTGATCGCATCCTTCCTATCCTGTGCGAAACGACGGAGCCGTTGCTTGATTGGTTTAGCGTCTTCTTTAACATGTAAAGAGTGCTCAATCACCTCTCTAGGAATACCAGGCATATCAGATGGTTTCCACGCAAAAATATTTTTATTATTTTGAAGAAAGGTGATGAGCGCGCTTTCCTATTTACAATCTAACTCAGCGTCTATTACAGCAGTCTTAGTAGGATCAGAGGGATCTAGGGGGATCTTCTTGGTCTTGGCGTCGCTTTCTCCGCTCTTTGACATCTTGGTTGCAGGCACTTCTCCTTCGCTTGATGTGGACGCAGCCAGTCGGATTTCTTCTCGGGCGAGAGTGATCTCGCGGGTCTGGGCCATCTCGCAGCTTTCCTTGTCGCATGTGACGGCTTGCTTGATGTCACTCCGCAGGGATATGACTCCTCGAGGACTAGGCATCTTCATCATTATGTAGGTATTGTGCGGGACTGCCATGAACTTGGCTAACGTCGGGCATCTGAGTATGGCATGATATGCTGTCTCAAAATCAGCGACCTCAAAACAAATGTTCTTTGTACGGAAGTTCTCCCGAGTGCCGAAAGTAACCGGAAGAGTGATCTGGCCAAGTGGTGTAGCAGATAGCCCCGGGATGACTCCGTGAAAGGGCGCGTTACTCGGCTTTAATTCTGTCCGAGGGATCTGCATGTCATCCAGAGTCTTGGCAAAAAGGATGTTGAGTGCACTGCCACCATCGATGAGGGATCTGCGAAGCTTGACGTTGCGAACCACTGGGTCTAGTACCAGGGGTACCGCCCCGGGTGGACCACTCGGTCAGGATGATCCGAGCGGTCAAACTTAATCGTTGTCTCTGACCACCGAAGATATTGGGGCGTGTCGGGCTGAACAACGTTGATCTCCCGTTCGGTCAACTTTTGCTTTCTCTTGGATTCATAAGCCAGGGGTCCGCCAAAGATGTGGTTGAGTTCCTTGCGGTGGTCTTGAAAACCAGTCGGGGCATCATCTTCATCATCCTTTTTCTTTGACGTGCTTTGATCTCCGTCAGAAGTTTTGCATGTGTTCTTGGCGTATTGTTCTGCAAACTGTTTGTAGACGAAGCAATCTTTGGCCGCGTGATTGGAATTAGGATGATGCAGACATTGGGAGTTCATGATTTTGTCAAAAGTGTTGAGCGCGAACGTTGTCGGGAGGATGGTGTAGTAGTTGCCACAAGTTCCTTAGGCTTACGCTTGCGATCCTTGTGATTGGTACTTCCACTCCCCCCTGTAGTTGGCATATCTTTCTTCGGCTTCCAAGTGGTGCCCGAATGCTTGGACGCGGTAATGGCATCTTCGGCTTTGGCATACTCATTGGCTTTTTCGAACATCTGCTTGACCGTCCTGGGAGGCTTGCGCCCAAACTTGTCGACTAGGTCATCGTGGCGAATGCCCTTGGTGAAGGCGGCGATGATGACGTCGTCGGTGATGTCGGAGATCTTGTTGCGTTGCTCGGAAAAGCGTCGGATGTAATCTCAAAGGGATTCTCCAGACTTCTGAATGACGTTGTAGAGATCAAATTGTGTACCAGGGCGTTCAAAGGTACCCTGAAAGTTGGCAATGAAGTGGTCGCGAAGTTCCGCCCATGATCCGATTGTGCCACGAAGTAACCCGTGAAGTCAGGACCGGGCAGAATCCGCTAGGGCCACAGGCAAATAATTCACCATGGCTTTGCTGTCTCCTCCCGCTGCGTGAATTGCGAGACCGTAGACGGTGAGCCAAGACTCCGGGTTAGTGGTGCCATCATACTTCTCGATTCCAGTCGGCTTGAAGCCGCCCGGCCAATCCACTCGACGCAGGTCACTTGTGAAGGCAGCAACTCCATCCATGTCGTCGTCGTCGCGATCTGGTGAATGGTGGGGAGCGTAGCCTCTTGCCGCACGGCGCTGGTTGATTGTAGCGCGAAGATCGACGGGGCGCCTGCGATGTGGGGAGCGTGGTCGTTCAACTCGACACTCCCTGTGTCATTTGGGAGGCAAGTGGACAGATCGCTCGTCGTGACCCCTGCTCCTGCGACTGGATCCCGCGCCGACGACGCTGAGGCTTGGTTGGTGATGGTCTTGAGATCGAAGAGGGGGAATTCGGCTGCCAGTCGGCGTGCGGACGCTGCAAAGTTAACCGGGACTGAGGCGGCGATCATGGTCTTGGTCTGGTTCAAGATGTTGACGACGTGATTGGCTTGATTGAGCGCGTCTTCCTTGAGGAGGGTGTCGAGGAGGGTGATCGCTGCAACCGCGTTCTGTTGGGGGGTGCGGAAAACCGTTGTTCCCTCAACGTCTTGTTGCCCGATAAGTTCCCGTGCTCGTCGCCCGGCATCCAAGGCACGTTGTCGCCGGTCCTCAGCCTCTTTTGCAGCCCGTTCGCGTTCCTGTTGCTCACGCTGTAGCCGTTCTCGCTCTTGTGCTTGGCGCTCCTCTTCCAGTCGGCGTCTTTCGGCTTCCTGTTGTACGCGTAATTCTTCTGCTTCTCGGGCTTTACACTGTTCTTCCGTCTCATTGTCAACCATGAAGATGCCGAAGTAGAGAGGCGTGTAGTTGTCTTCAAAGCCTTCGTCGAAGTCGTCGAGGTTGCGGTAGTCGTAGCGGTAGCCGAAGTCGTCGTACTCCATGATCTCCGTTGGTCGTGAGTCGACGCCTGGGGAGCTGAGGTAGCCGTCCAGTTGTTCCATCGAAACCGTGCCGAGAGGCTGGAGTATGACGCCGACTTCCCTGGAGCTAGGCTGGGCCGGGGCTGAAGCCGGATTCCGCCCAGGCTTGCGAGGAGAAGATGCCCTTGTGGTGAAGACAGCAGCCAAATCATCGGGGAGTTTCATCAGGATTGGCGAATAGGCCCCATCATCTTGATCGGGTCGTGTTGAAGTAGATTGGATCTTGTCCGAGTGGTTTGAAGCCAACTCGGTGGAGATGATCTTGGGGTAGACCTCGGCCGAGTTCGGGATACCGAACGGGGCGGAGATCTGGCCTCTTCCCGACTGGTTCGAATCCGAGTCGAGGAGAGAAATCTTGCCGAAGTCGTTGGTGATGAAGTCGAGGCTGCCGAACCGGGACGCCTGCCCAGGAGGGAAGACGAAGTCGTTGATGCCGGAAACGAAACCCATCTCACTAGTCGGCGAAGAACTTGACGCTACCCCTACCTGGCGTGCCAACTGTCGAAACAAGATTTCGGCAATACTAAAAGGGGGTGGCTATCAAGCTGGAAAAGTGGATGGGTTTAGAGACATGGAATTTTATACAGGTTCAGGCCTTCTTAATCAAGAAGTAATACCCTACTCCTATCCGGGGATTGATCCGCCGAGTGTATTATTGATCGTATGATCTGAAGAAAATCGTGCCCCTCAAGGCACCCGGACCCCTCCTTATATGGGAGATGGGATCCGTATTACAAAATACAGTCCATATCCTTAACGGAATAAGTAGTTACAGATAAAATACAATCGTAACCGACTAGGATCTCGGGTATTTCCTTGACATACAAGTTTAGAATTTAACCCGAATCTCTCTAAAGATATTCTATCTATACATGGCACCCCACGCCCAGTCGGCCTATACATGCCGTGTAGGTATGGGGTATCCATAATCTCCACACCCACTTTATTAAAAAACAATTATATTTTGATAATGCTATTTATTTGACATTATCAATCTTTAATAAGGTAAGATGTGAATGAGAATGTTTAGTTTGTGTTCTTACAAAAGTTTGGTAAAACATTTAAGGGTCTTTTTGGAGTAGCTTAAGATTTTGAGAAGAAGCTAGCCGGTGAGAATCTGGAGAAGCTGGGAAACTCAGCTTCTAGCTTCTAGTTTATTTTCTAAATTTTACATTCTTAGAATTTGGATAAAAAGCTGGATTGTTTGGGGGAGCTTCTAGCAACTGAAGATTCTAGAAGAAGCTGTAGCTGCTAGAAACTCCCCCCAAACATACCCTAAGAGTGGAAAGTTCCAGAATTACCAAAATTTAGTAAGTTTGTATCGACAATAGCATGTTTACGGCTGGTTCACTTTGCTACTATTTTCAACCATACCTTTTTTTTTTTGGCAAAGTTACCAAAAAGTGGCTATATTTAATTTATTGCCAAATTTCAGTAAGTACATATGAAATCTTGTCAAAATTTGACAACCTTGCCAAAATTTTGATAACCTTACCAAAATTTGGCAATGCCAACCTTACCAAAATTTGGCAATGCCAAAACTTGGTAATGTTGAAAATGGTAGCAAAGTGAACAAGCCATTAGTTTGTTGTCTTATCAAATTTTAACATGGTTAGGTTCCTTGTGGTCGAATCAGTCCACCCAGATTTTATGTGCTAGACACGATATGTGTGCTCTCATTTACGGCTATTTTTTTTAGTGATAGGAGATGTACCTATCGACAGCAAGACGTCTGTGGTGATTTCGTCAATCTCAAGATACGCCGATCCAATCTTTCGAATATACTTACAGAGGTAAAGTGTAACTGTGTATTTATAAGGATGAGTGTTCGTTTGTACGTATGGAGATTCGTTGTACTAGACGACGTTTCGTTCCAATCCAAATTTGTTTTTCATATTTGGGCGGATGTACTGCTCTCACCTCGAAGGAAACAGTTCGCTCACCCACAAGGCCACAACGCAGCGCACGAATCGCGGCGCCGCGGGCGCTGGCCTGCCTGCCTGCCTCCCGGCCGGCTACCGCCCGATCGACCGAACCGCACACCCGAACCGTCCGGTGGGGCCCACCTCCCTCCGGCCCCGTCTTTTTCCCCGCCCCGCCGCGCGACTTTCGTCTCGTTTTTTTTTTCTCCTCCTTCCTTCTCCCCTCTCCTCACGCCGCCGCCGGCCGTGTCGCCGGAGTCCCAACGATCCAGGGGCTTCTCCGATCGGCAGCGAGACGCGCCCTCACCCTCGTCCTCGCCGCCGCCGCCGCCCCATGAGACGACGTCCGCTGTGAGAGCTCCCCTTCCCTTCCTCTCTACCCCTCACTCACTCCCGCGGCCCCGCACCGTTTGTTCGTTCCCTTGCTCCGTTGCGCGCCTCGCCTCTGGATCCCACTAGGACAGTGTCCTGATGGAGAGTGGAGACCTAGGGCTCAGACATCGTAGCGTGTTCCTTCTGCTACTTCGCTTTTGTGCTCGTTGCTCCCCAAATTTTGAGCTCTTCGGCTTAATTTGAGGTTTCCTACTTTCCTCTTTCAGATGTAGTAGTAACTATCTAGCACGATAGCTATGCTTTTATTTTGGAAATTACATCTCATGGGGAGTGGTTAAGCAGGCCGAAATTCCTGGATTTTGTAAACTGTATTAATTTGAGTGCTTGGGCCTGAAATGCCTGCCGTGACTATCGTCGGCATGATCGCACTCATCTGGGTTGCTGTCATCAGAATATAGGCTAGTAATTTGTTTGAATTGCAAATTTGCAATGATTCACTGCTAGACCCAAGACCCAACAGTTCTTGCAAATGACTATTGTGCTGACTCTGATTTATGCTAGTACATTTCTTTTCAAGCTGTTCGTGTTCATGGATATACCCATGGTGTAAGAGGGAAGTATTATTTTTCCTCATTCATCTTGATTCTTCAAATAACTGAAAGGCATTAATAACCCGTGACGGATCAATGCACTACTGGAGTAGCTAGGGACTTACCTTTCTAATTAGTATGTCCATGAAATAAGTTTATCGTTGATTTTGTTATTGCCTATTACTATTTTTAAGTAAATTCAACTGAAACTAGTTTTATAATTTGCCAATGGTGATGTCTGATGGGAAATACTTGATGATTTTTTTTATAGGTTTACCTCTAAAACACAATGATGTCAAGGTCTGCACTGCTTATTTTTCTGCTTTTTGTACTTATAGTCACATCCCAGCTTGAATGGAAGCAACAACTTGTTAATGAGTTGGAATCTACGTCTCACAAGCAGAAACATATTTCAAGTAGAGGAGAACTTGTCAAGGAAAAGGTGAGCTACTCTCTGTAACTGATATATTTTGACAGACTTTGCTGCATTTGAACTATTGAACTTAGATTTCTTATTTGTATCAACTGTTGGAATAGAGACAAGTTATTTTTATTTTGCAAATTCACAAAATTGCTGCGCTGGCTGAGTTAAACTTTCTTGCAGATAATCTTATCTCAAGAAAAGATGATTCGGCTATTGAATGAGCACATCCAGAATCTTCAGCAACAATTGCTGCAATGCCGTGTCAATAATAGGACGGCCAATTCTTCTGGATCTTCTTTGACATCATATATTGGTGAGATCCAAAGGCAGCAGATGATGGATGATTGATAAGGCGAGAAGCCGACGAACCATGTATAACAATCCAGTGGGATGTGCGATTCCAGATCGTACCGGTAGTCATTTCTCCTAGAAATGATGTAGTGTTAGTCTGTATAGAATAGTGATATAGTCAAAGCAAAGGACAAGGCTTTGTCGATTAAAAGAACATTGGTTTAACAGGATTAAATTCATTTTCTTTACTCATAAGTAGACCTTTGTATGTCTATTCAGTTATTTTTTTTAGAACACATGTCTATTCAGTTATAATTTACATATGTGTTTACAATGTAAGCATTATGTTGCTTTGTTCATAAAATATGTTTTTTCTATTGTTTTATTAAAGGGTAAACTGTATTGAAACTGCTTGTTAATTGTTGAATGGGTGGTACTGTTGCAGGACTGGTGAGAGCCTCATCGTTTGGCTTTTTTCGTAATAAGCCAAAACGGCTTATTAGAGAATAAAAATGAATTTGTAGGTAAAACTTTTATATATGTGTTCTCGGTGACTTAAAAAGCTAATGCTGAAAAAGAAACTACGTTAAAAATATCTCAAAATCAATATCAAAATTAAGTTTGAAAATTCAAAATTTGGCTTTTTCTTTGGCTGAATAGGCTATCCGATGGGAGCCTGATTCTCTATGTAACTCTTTGGGGGTGTTTGGGGGGGGGGGGGTGGTGTGGAGACGCTCATGTTACTGATTACTGTAATTGTGAATGGTCGTGCACATGCAGATTTTAAATCTGTGTGATATAGTGTAATAGTAACACAATTTCTCGAGGGCACATCCTCACATGTTATGACCGACTTCACAGTTTGCCAAAATAGCACTGATGTGTTCGTTCATATGTGGGCACACCAGTGATCTCTTTTTTGGCAAAATGTGAATTTAAGCGATGGTATACGGGCATTTCCACCTAATGTTGTTTCTTCATTAGATGTTAAATGCAGGGGATGCATTTGTAGACGGAGGAAGACTTTGTACACAACATTATCCTCAGGAAAATATTCCATACACGGTGGAATTCAGTGCTATGGTATCTGCAGGCACCAGGACCCCAGGAGGGCAAATGTACTACTCCCTCTGTCTCACTTATTAAGACGTAGTTAAACTTAACAAAATCTTAAAAATTAATTTTTGACTTTAAATTTTTCATATACTACAATATTTATAGCAACAGGGCCTTTGCTGTTTACAGTGTGTACTACTCCTGTCAGCCAGATGCCTGTTTGGTATTCTCACGCCAACTTCTTATATTCAAGTCACTCTAAATATGAGAGTATTAGTATAACCTTCAATTTATTTTGTCATATGAGTTTATAGTTTAGTGTTTTCGATATTTATTATCAGCTTCCGATCGATATCGACATGCTTCCGTCTGTATAGTCCGTTTCCTGTTTTCCGATATTCTCAACATCGTTTTCGTTTTCAGCTTTACCTTTTTAAAAAAAATGGTTATACAAATGATTGATATGTTTCGCGACGGTTATTATCCCTTGCCTCCAATGGCGCTTGTCGCTGGGCATCGGGCAAGGCGGCCTTCCCGTCACCGGCGATGCAAACGCCAACGTTGTCGGCCACCTTGGCCAGCCCAGCAGCCTCCACGTGTCAGCAAGGAGCCTCTCGCCCCGGTCATTTGGCTTATTGATGGAATAATTTACAAACGAAAAATAATCTGTGAATAAAACTTTTACATACGTGTTCTTAGCAATCTAAAAGCAAAGTCTAAAAAAAACTTTGATTAAAAAATCCTCCAAATCAACTCCAAATTTAAATTTAAAGTTGAAAATATAAATTTTGAGTGATAAGCATAAGAGAAAAGATGAGGATGTATAGTCGTGGGCTTGTGGTGGTATGCTGGTAGCTTAGAGCATCTCCAATAGCCTCTCCAAATCGAACTCTTCAACATCTGATTTAGCTAGTCAAACTACATGCTCACTCCAACATACTATCTATTAATCCTCTCCAAAATAAAATTGGACCCACATGTCAGCCTCTCTCCCCTCTTCTTCCTCTCTCTCCCCCCTTCTTCTTTCTTTTTCCTTCTTTTCCCCTTTCCTTCCTTCCCGTCGAGGTGTCGACCACGCTATTGCTGACGGCGGCTGACGCATGGCGCGCGGTGGTGCGGCGACGCGGGGAGGCTGCCGGATCTAGAGGCCGCCGCTGGCTTTACGGTGACGAGGCGACGACGGCGGACGAGGTGGGAGGCGGCAATCGATGGCGCCCGACGACCTTGACATCGACGACGGTGCCCTCGACGACCTTGATGATGACGCCCCTGACGACCTCGGTTGCAGATGACAGTGGCCTCGGCAGTGGGACGGAGGGGCGGCGCCAGCGGAGGTTGGGCACCAGCGCGGCGGATGCCGAAGGGGCGGCGTCGGCAGAGGGAGGGCGCCATCGTGGCGGAGGCTAGAGGGGCGGCAAATCTGGGGGATGGGGAGAGAAATTGCGCGATGAGGAGGAAATCGCGATCTGGGGAGGGGGAGAGTGTACCGGATGGCTTGGCCAGCCAGTTAACCAGGCTGTTGGAGTGTGTTTTTAATCCAAAATTGCCAAAATTTAACTTGAAGAGTGGGATAAGGAGGCTGTTGGAGATGCAGAACCTGTAGTCCACGTGTAGCCAGCGCGGGGAGAAGTTTGGCCAGCCAGTTAGTCAGGTTGTTGGAGTGTATTTTTGATCCAAAATTGCCAAAATTTAACTTGAAGAGTGGGATAAGGAGGCTGCCTGGACATGCAGAACCCGTAGTCCACGTGCCTGTCGTATTCCTTCGCTGCCATGCACGTCGTCTATGGTGTTGCACCGATACCCCACTCACGGGCGAGTACAACATCCAACTGTGAAGTCCAAGGCGACATCCGCAGCAGTGGCGGACGGCGGTACGACACTATTTCAACCCCATTATTTCGCTTATTCATATGCTTATCCAAATCGCTTATTAGAAAATAAAAAAATATTTGTGACTAAAATTTTTATATTCGTATCCTTATATACTCAAAAGCAAATGTTGTAAAGTAAACTACGATAAAAAAATCAAATTCAAAATTAAATTCTAAAATTAAAATTTTGGTTTATAAATATAAGTATAAGCCAAACAATGATGCCCTTTGCCTGTCTGGCTTGGCAACGCCTAGAGGTACAAGTGTGAGTGAGTCCCCTTGCTCTGCTTCTTAGAGGTGGGGATCACAAGTGTACGAGCAGAATAGTGTACTACCTCTATTCTAAAATGTACTAATATAGGATTAGGAATATGAACATTATAGGATGTGTGTAATCTAATTCTCGGTTTCTACATTTTGAAACGGAGAGAGTAAAGTTTTCTATGGGCCCATTCCGACAGATCTGGGCTTGGTTATTGGCCCGGTTGCTCATACGGCCCAGAGTATGGGGGCCTTCTTGGGGCTGAATTGAGGATGAGTAGGGGCGCGATCTGACCAAATTGCCGCCCCAAGGTGCGGCGGTGGGGGTGCTCTTCCGCTTCCGCAGATTGCGAGTCGGCTCATCGCCCCCTCTACTATTCCCCATTCCCCCCAATTCTGAATCCGATCGAGAGTGTGCTCAAGCTTCCACCGCCCTGGTTGCATCCGCCGCTTCCCCTACTCGGTACCCTCTCTCTCTTGAAGTTTTTCTTCGAGGAAACGTTTCTCGCTGTGAGTCCGATCCTGGTGCATGGTTCGAATTTTTTTTTCTTCCTGAATTTCTTTTGGGCCGCAGTTTCGGCGGTGTTGTGTTCCGTTCATGATTTTTTCCATGTGCGCTACAGATTTGGTTGCGATGTTATGTTTCGTGTGCTTGGTTAAACCCTAGGTGGAATTCAAGAAGGGGTAGAGCCATATCGAACCCTAAATCTTGGCCTGTTGAGTTTAGTCATCGCGACCATTTTCGCAGGCTGGCAGCCTGCCAGCGTTGCAGTCCTTGATCATGCGCTCATTTTTTTTCTTAAAAAAAATGGGCTGTTTTGATGGATATAAACCTAGATTTTGCATATCGCCGGTTCATTCCGTGTGACCTCCTTCACGTTTCTACTCATAAACTGATGCCTTACAGTTTTTTTTTTTCAAACCAAGTCCTAACTTGAGTCTGATTTTGCACGCAGGTTGAAAGCTTCAGTAATTCATCTGGTCAGCACAAGGTAAATGCACGTTCTTCTTTTGCAGTTTTCACACGGCGGCCGGTGTGCCGATGGATTTCTATGCTCTAGCATTTTGCAATTGGAGCGAGATGCTTGCTTCATTCTTTACAAACATATGCAGACAACGTGATTACCGTCTCAGGATCAGGAATTCAGGATCTCTCTCTCTCTCTCTCTTGGGGGGGGGGGGGGAGGGGAGGAGTTGAATGTGTTGTTTACTTCTGTACCATATGTTTGTTGCATCTGTCTTTACCTTTTGTGTGGTCTGCAAATAGACAACTTTGTCTTGGTGTGCTTGCAACTTTTAATCCATGGCAACTGGGACAATTAATATCGTGAGCTGATGATAAGGTAACTTTGTAGTTACTACTCCCTCAGTCTCCAAATTTAGCTACTTCACCTCCCTTATCTCAACCGATCACATCCATCTCTCATTTAATTTTTCCACCTACTTCCTTATCTCAACCAATCACATCCACTCCTCATGGTCTCATTTGATTTCAACTCTTACTTTAATCTCCGTGAAAAACTCCATAAGTGTGTATATCTTGGGATGGAGTGAGTACTTGGTGAATCGCATACTTATCGGCATGATGGAGTAATGGTGCCATCATTTGTTTTTACAACACGCTTATAAGTATTCCCAAAAAAAAACAACACGCTTATAATTCATCTTTTTCCCCTCAATATTAGGAAGCCCTTTCATTGGCAGTTAAGTACTATCTTCGTCCCAACATGAAGCATTTCTAGATATGATCATGGCTAGAAATACCGCCATTGCCCTAAGATTGACAGTTCAATACCGTCACGGTGGGAGGCGGGAGTGCTGCTCATAGCGACTCTCTTCTCGAACTCTCCAGACCCTAGGTGCCACTTATCTATTGTCCTAGGGCAACGGGACTATCCACTAGTTTAAGCAATACTACGGTGGTGATTCATGGCGTGCACACGCTCATTCGAATTTCGAGAACCAACGTGATTTCTAGCAAATTTCTGTAAGAAAACGTGTTCTCACAAATTCCCTTTTAGGGCAGAGACGGTGATCCAACACAAATTCCCTGATCTAGTAAGCCATTTGTTGTCTTTTGGAAATTGGCTGTGCAATAGTGCATAGGATCAGCATGTATGCTCGTACTTAATTACATCCCTGATTCCACATGAATAGCTATGTGAATGCCACTTGCTCCTATTACTGTATCACTAGCTAAAGGTCCGTGTGTTGCAACAGATATTATAAGAGACAAAGCAAAAGCAAAAATTACAAGTTTATAGTATAGTTAGTTGATTAGCTATATAATATCATCTCCAAAGGCAACCATACTGAAATATGCTGTTAGTTCACCTCTTTTTATCCTCTTCGTCTATTTTCCCAAGCCATACGGTCGGATAGTACAAGATTGGACGCTTATAATTCATCCGTGGGTGGCAGGTGAATTTGAAGGTTTTATATGTAACCCCTTGCAAGTTCTAGAATTAGCAATTCCAGGACCATTTAACGTGTTGTGGGGACATTATGCTTATGGTTCCACATGTCAGTTTGTAGTGTTGGAGGCAGACTCGGACACCATCGCCAGTATCATTTAAAGTACTATCATCTGTATGATTATGAGATTCAGAGGTTATTTGCCATATTCAACATCTACGCGTTGCGCGTTTTCTGTGTATTGATTTATGCTTCTCTATCTTTTTGAAGTGATTTGTGTACAATCTACATCAAGCTCTTCGGAAATTGCTAGGTCACTTCAATCTGATTTCTGGAGCGATGCATTGTGCTAAAAAGGCAAAGGTGGAATCACAATCAGCTGAGAGTTTAGATAGACTCAGCAGCCTACCTCCAGAGCTAAAAGTCGCCATCCTCTCGAAGTTGAATGTCGTAGATGCTATTAGAGCCAGCATCCTATCAAGTGCTTGGAGGAATGTGGCAACTTATTCTGTTCGATACGTATCGCATCTCAGGCACATTACGGTCCAAATTTACTACACTGGTAGATCTGTCACTGTTGCTCCACAATGGACCTCTAGTTTCGTTTTCAATTTGATGTTTGAGGAGTTACCTTAATGCATATGATAGGTGGATGCACATGCTGTCAAGGAAAAAACCAAGTTCCATCACAATCGAGTTTTCCTGTGGGAATTATTATAAGATTCCATCGTGCCTCTTCTCTATCAGTGATTTGGAATATCTACGGATAGAAAGATGCATCATCAGCTTGCCTCGGCAGTTTGAAGGTTTTAAGCAGCTAACTGTTCTGAATCTGAAATATTTCTCCTCAACAGACAGTGACATAAATAATCTGATCTCCTCATGCCCTCGGCTGAATACATTGCGTTTGAAATATTTTAAGGGTATCAATCGTCTCCGAATTCAAGCTCAGGCAGTACAGGTTTTAGAGGTTAAAGGGTCCTTTGAAGACTTTCATCTGCATGCACCTAACCTGTCCAATGTGTATGTTACACTCAACAAAACAAAAGTTGCAGACAGGAGTAAAAACTATATGATGCAAGCTTTTGTGAGCCTAACTGGAATAGAAGCACTTGTTATGAAAAGATGTATGGTTGCGTTGCCTCAGACGTTTGAAGGTTTCAAGCGGCTATCTGTCTTGAATCTGAAATATATATACTCAACAGACGCTGACATAGCAAATCTGATCTCCTCATGCCCATGGCTGAAAACACTGCATTTGAAATATTTTGAGGGTATCAGTTGTCTCCGTATTCAAGCTCCGGCACTGCAGCATTTAGAGGTTCAAGGGAATTTCGAAGACTTGCATCTGCATGCACCTAATCTGTTGTATCTTACACTCGACAAAACAGAAACAGAACAATGTGATGCTGTTGCGGGTGACAAGAAAAATTATCCCAAGGAAGCTTTTGTCAGCCTAACTAGTATAGAACTTTCTATAAATGGCCCTTCCTTGACGGTAACATATTATTAATTTTGTGCTATTAAACTATCATGCTGATTAAATTTTATTGATAATTCTTATTGGTTTTTATTCTGATGGTAGTATCTATCGGAAGGGTGCTTGTTGACCAAACCCCCAGGCGTGCTTGATCGTCTGAGGAAGGTTAGTATTGGGGAGTGCTTTTGGCACTGGACAGGTCTTGGGTGCTTGTTCAATTTTTCGGAATGCCCCTATGTTGAGAGAACTCGAGATACAGGTATGCCTCCCTCCACTCTCCACTCTCCTGCAGTTAACTTGCATTTCTTTCCATCCATAATTACTAGGCTGCATTGCCTCTTGTGTTCTTTGTGGTTTTTGTTAATGTCTTTACTAGTTTTTTGCTTCTAACTTCTACAGAGCTTCTCTCGACCGGACGATTCTTGGAGTCAGCCAATATGGGATCATGATCAGACGGAGATCAAAGAGCCTACCTTGCATCACCTCCTGACGGCGACGATCACCGGTTTCGTGGGGCTGGAATACGAGGTTGATCTCGTTAGGCTGCTCCTGAGATGGTCACCTGCATTGGAGGAACTGAAGGTGGTCAGGGACGACGAGGATGTCCTGAACGATGCGTGCATGTGCGAGTCTCTTACCAAGTTACTGGCTCTCCCGAGGGCTTCTACCAAAGCCAAGATCATTGCCATCTGATCTGATCCTTTATACAGCTATATACCTCATGTTATTGGCGTATTGATGTTGCTCGTGGCAGAAGTAGTGTTTGCTAGTGAGAATGTGTTGTCCTGGGATGTTGGGAGTTATGCTTGCGTTAAATCTGAATCTTTTTGTTGTCTTTGAATTCAGTCTGTTTTTCTCATTCAAACGAGACTATATGCCCTGGTTCAGAATGAGTGAATGTTCCTGGTTGGAGAATTATCATGTCTCTTGTGTTCTGTTAATTAAACAAATAGGAAATTGGCGTTATGGGCTCGCTTACTGGGCCTCGTTTTTTGGGCGCGGATCGCTCATACGGCCCAACATTGTGGGCTGCAATTGGGACGAGTTGAGGATTAGTAGACCAGACGACTCCCCCGAGGTGGTGGCGGCTGGCGGTGCGCTTCGGCTTCCGCCGCTTGCGAGTTGGTGGCTCGCCCCCTCTCGCTCTCAACTCTCTCTCTCCCCCGAAATTCCGAATCCGATCGAGACGAATCGAGAGAGAGAGAGGCGCCGCGGATCCGGGTAAGCATGCTCGAGCTTCCACCGCGCATGGCTGGTCGCATCCGCCGCTTCTCCTAGTAGATTTCTTTTTCTCTCTCTTGATGTGGATGCTGGTGCATTTTTCCTCTGCCATTTCTTTTGATTTTTTTTTTTTTTGGGGGGGGGGGGGGAGTTTTGGCGGTGAGGCGGAGGTGCTCCACTCATGATTATCTCCATGTGTGCTCCAGATTTGGTCGTCTTTGCCTTCTCCTACGTTGCGATCATGCGATGCTTCGTGTGCTTTGATTAAACCCTAGGTAGAATTCAGAGAAGGGGTAAAACCCTAACCAATTCTATTTCCTCGCCTATCTGCGTTGTAAACTTCTTCTTTCTTTCTTTCTTTCTTTCTTTTTTTTTTTGCGGGGAAAGCGTTGTAGAATTGTGGTCGTGGTCCATGTGCTCAACCTTTTTTTTTTTTTGAAAAAAATAGGGTGGTTTTGTTGGATAGAACCCTAGCTTTTGCATATCCGCTGATCCATTCCGTGTGACCTCCTTGCCGTTTCTGCTCGGTCCCTGATAAGTTGATGCATATTTTAGTGGTTTTTTTTAACAACCAAGTCTTAAGTTGAGTCTGATTTTGCTCGCAGGTGAATGCTTCAGTGATTAATCTGGCCGGCACAAGGTAAATAAATGCTCGTTATTCTTTTCCAGTTTTCAGATTGGGGGTGTGCCGATGGGATTTCTTATGTATGAGCATTTTGTGATTGGAGGAAGATATGCCTGGTGTTTGCTGGGAGTTGGGAAACTAGGTGTAACAACTAACAAGGTTGATGAGTGATGCTTGGGGGCAGTGTATGGAGTTATGATATTGTGTACGTTTTTCGTTTAATAGGATTATAGGAACAATAATTTGAATGTGCTGTTTAGTTTGTACCATATGTGGTAGCTATCTTGACCTTTTGGTTTTCAAATATTTTCTGATGTATTTATCAGCATGAGGTACTGAATAATGGTGCCATCATTTGTTTTTACAGCTCACATATAATCCATCCCTTTGTTTCCCCTTGATGATAGGAAGCCCATTCATTGGCAATTTACTATAATTTTCTGAACTCAATCAGTCGGTTAATCTAACCAGAAACAGAGACCAAACTCTATTGTAGCATATCCAGTAGACCATTTTTTACCATTATCCTAAATTACGCTGAGTTAGGGCAATAATTTTTTTAAAACTTTAGTTGAACTCGTGGAAGCTCAAGGGTTAATCTCAAACTAATTTAGGTCACCACCAGAAAGACATATATACATAACCCATGCATGGAGGGTACCTCAAAGTATTCTTGAGTTTTGGGAGTGGTAAGTTTAACTGATTTGATTGGTATTACTAAGAGGGTGTTCATGCAAGCGTTCATTACCTTTGATTACTTTTAAAGATCCAATAGACATAAAAAAAATAAACCTTTAAAGTTTGAGCAATGTCATGGTAAACGTTCATTGTAGTGAAATTAATGCATAGTGATGAAGTTCAATTTAACGTGGCAAGAAAAGAATGATTATAATTGTAATATTTTGTACATTTTAAAAAGTTGCCAATCATTAAGTGATGCTATCGTTTTGCATTATTTCTTTACTTATCACTGAATTGTTGTGCATAGTTCTGAAGGAAAATATACTTGACCCTGCAGATGTCATTGCACATTGGGCGGCTCAGTTCACATGTGCGTCAAAGATATCTTGAACATCTTTTCCAGAGGTTTGGAAATTGCACAGTGAGGCTGAAAGATGGATATGGATTTGCGGTCTTTGATTCTAATGATGATGCAGCTCGAGCCATGCGGGCACTGCAGGGGAAATTTGTTTGTGGGGAGCGCATTACTGTTAATTGGTCAAAACAGCAGCCCAGATTTTCTAAGGATTTCAGAAGTTCAAGAAACATTGAGTCATCTCACCAGAGGGCACCCAGAGTCAGAGATGGTAATATTAGGTTCAGGGATTCTTTAGCTCAGAAGAATCACCCTGCAAGTCATGATCAGGGTCACAGTCCTGATGTTGCACCAGAACAGAAATCATCTGATGGTGCATTGGAAAAGAAATCTGATGAAAAGAAATCTGATGGTGATGTTGAGGATTTGAAGGATGTGAGGGAAACTGTTGGTCAAGATCCAGTGGAGATGAAGAGGAATGAAGATGTTACAAGTGATGCAAATGTAATTGAACATGATAGATGGGAGGAAACTGGAAAAGGGAATCCTGGTAGAGATGATGATGATTTTGACCGTTATGAACCTTATCATGGCTATGCCAGGCAAGAAGAAAGAGCAGAGGTTGTCAAAGCAAGTTCTCAGGAGACTTATCATCATAGATTTTCTTCACAGAAGTCGAAAGAGTATCCTGCTGGCCATACTGCTCATGATTGCCCCCAGAAAACAGATGGAGGATTCGAAGCATGGAGAGATGCATTGAGTAGGCAAGAAAGGCTGAGAAGATTTGGGTCTCCCTCAAGGAGGCAACCAGATACTCGTGATTGCTCTAAGAAAACAGATGACAGATTCGAAGCATGGAGAGATGCATTGAGTAGGCAAGAAAAAGGTATGGTGAGGCTGAAAAGATTTGGGTCTCCCTCGAGGAAGCGGACAGAAGAATTTCGTGTTGATAAGGTGGTAGAAACACATCGTATGGTACAAGATGGCAGGAAACAATTTTCTGATAGGACTAGCCACGCTCACAGATTGAGTAATGTTTCTAGAGAGGACAAAAGGCATACCCGTTGCAGTGAAAGTATACCACAGACCCCCAAGGAGTCACGCAAGAGAAGCAGATCTAAAAGATCCCGTGGGTCATCCCTCTCTTCTGACAGGAGTACCTCACATTCAACATCTAAATGTTCTCGTTCAAGAGCACATTCCCCATCTCATTCTGCACATTCTAGTTCAAAATCATTTCAGCCAACTCAGCCTGAAGGTTTAAGATCAATGGCAGTATCAAATGTCAGTCCATTGCTGGTGTCTGGTTCACCACAACACAACTTACCATCCACAGCGGAAAACAAGAACTCAGATTTTCTGGTGAATTCTCCTTTGGAGGGCAATTTAGATTCCAAAACAACAACTGGACTCAAGCATACACGTGGTTACCAGCAAGATATCAAAGATTCAAGATTGAGTGGAGAGTCTCCAGTTATTCCACTCAGGTTGAAAATCCAAAGGAATGGTGAATTGCCTGTATCTGGTAAAGATGCTTATCTGGATGGTTACACAGAGACCAACTTGAATAATAACTTGGTTTATGATGACAATGTTGCTGATGGTGTGCAAGTTCAGAAGACCAATTCTGAGGACGCTTCATCAGTGAAGTCAAGCAAGGATATTCTGGTGAAAAGTGAGAGGAGCAACTCTTTGAAGCTAACAACAAATGAAGTGGTCTCTGCTCTTAAGCACAATGGAATGGAAGCACGTGGTACAGATTTATTGAACCAACCTGTAGAGAAGTACTTTGGTGCTGCACGCCTATGGCCATGGGAAGTCATTTATTATCGGAAGCTTAAAAAGGGTCCAATTTCTACAGAGAACTACGCTAAGCGACTTGAGCAGAACAAAGAATATAGTATTGTAGATCGGTATGTCAGAAGCAGCAGTGGTTGGTGGGAGTGCCACTAGAATGCCAGACTGGTGGTATAGATAGATGCAGTTGAGGCTTTGCGTGTATGCTGCTGCAGGTACATTTTGAGGATGACAAGGTTTGCCTTCTAATCAGTCCATTCCTAGAGCTCCATGAGTGTAAGCAGACCCTTAACTATGAGAATTATTAAGTATTAGGTTCTTTCATTAGTATAATTTTGTTGAGTAAGGGTTTGCACAATTGCACCTAAGTAGCTTATTCTGCCACCAATATTATGCTGTTGCATGGTCAGTATGTTTTAAGTTGTAATGTTTCAACGACTCGCCCCAGTGAGGTACTTTGGATGGCCAACAGGTAAGCAAAGATGCTTATTTTATACATGATTTTTTGGGGAAAAGAAACAAGCCTCTTGTTTAGCAGTTATATAGAGGAAAGGTTCTCTCTGTAGTTTATGATTTCCTTAGTACTCCCTCCCTCTGGTTTCATAATTCTTGACATTTTGGACAATGATATGGTCTCCAAAATATATCTTTAACTATGTTTTCTCTATTATAATATATACAATAAATAAGTATATTTTTACTTTTATTATAGTACTTATAAGACAAATCTATATATGTTGTTTTAGTGTCTTTAAACTTAATATTTTAGAAGTTATTGATAGTCAAAGTTATAAAAGTTTGATCTTAACCTTATCCTAAACACCAAGACTTATGAAACCGGAGGGAGTATGACTACAATTATTTTTGTAATCAACAACTTCCATACCCCGCTAATCGAGCTGAAATATTACAGTGATGCCACTTCGTGATAGATTTCATATGCAAGATGTGCTCCCCCGGCTTACAAGCTTTTGGATAGGACCAAGAAATTCTTCGCATGTTTGAGTCGTCACTGTTATTTTTGTGTAGCTGAATTGGAGTAGGTGATTGAAGCTTTGCTAACTGGATTACCTGTTACTTTTATGTAGCTACCCTATGAGGATTATGCCATTCTGGCTGGACACATGAACTCCATAATATCAGTACCTTTATTTGAGTCAGTTTTTGGTCTTTTAATGTGACTTGTCGCTGATGTCTCATCGTCGTATCCTGATATTTATATTGCTCTGATCTTCTTGGGGATTCCATCTAGACTTTTGCATGCGTCTGGCTTTATATTTCTCCAAACGGTGTGATAGCCAGTTGTCCATGACGACAGAACATAAATTTGGGTTCTTGCATATCAAACGCTTTATTTTTCCCCGATCTGCATCGAATGCCAAATCACCATCATGTTGGGTAGATGTTGAATCGGATGTTTTCCTTCTTTTCGTCTCCTTTCACGAGGAGATTGGTATGTGGTGCTAATTGCAATTCTCCCAGTTATTTAGCTCCTCCTGCAAGCTGCTGCAGCGGTTTTGGCCTTGCTGCCTTTCTGGCGTCAAAAGAAAAACTTGTTTTTCTCTTGCCTTGTTTAAGTTGGGTTGTTAGCTTCCAACCAGGGATTCTATTGTCGTTGTCACTCTTGGGGTTTTGCATGCGCATGTAACTCGTTTCCAATCCATTGGTTGCTATGCTTTGCGCTACGGACAGTCAGTCATGCTGACAATTGGCAGCTATGGATTACGACGTTAATCACCCGTATTTATGACAGGTGGTGAAAAGACAGTGGAGCTACCGGTCGTGTAAAGGATTAGAAAACGAATGAAACAATGGCATATGGGGGCTTAGCGTAGCAGAGCTGCTGATCGCAACGCATCGTCACTGCAGGAGCTAACTGCTGATGGCTGGCTGTCACAGTGTCGATTACACTCTGTTTCAAAATAAATCAATCTGGAATGTGAAAAATCTGGACAGAGAATATGTTCAAATTTATTATAGATGTATCACATTCTAGTCAAGGTTGGCTTGTTTTGGGATGGCCCTCTGTTAAAAAAATTAACTTAGAATAAAATATAATATTATCTAGTACAATAAATCTGGATGAGTATCTCTAAATTTTTGTTTAGATTAGTTATATTAGATAATGTTATGTCCTAGAAAATATTTTATAGGTTTTCTTTGGATAGAGGGAGTAAGTAGAAATGGTATCATTGGCCCTGGGCTGGTTTCCAGATTTTCCTGAACAATATTTGAATTTATGTTGATTTCATACTCTGCTATAGCAATATTCATCTAAATGATTAGGTCGTAATTTGGATGATGTGCATGTTAGTAATAACTTACAATATTGTTGTACGAAGTAGTAACAGAGAGCTGAGGCACATGAATCTATCGTCCGTGGCAAAGTTGACCAAGGCATCATCGTCATTAAGGTCATGTACAGCGTCATCACGACGCTCGCATTCAGATGGACGCGTACATGATGATACTACTACTTGTAGTGACGGAGGTTGTAATTAGTTCGGTATTGATTGTGCATTTGCACTAGCTGGGTCCTCTCCTCCTCATGCCATAAAACTCTCTCTTCTCATGCAGACATGCACACTACTACTACTCTTGCTACGACCATGACCACGACTATTCAACTGTTTCTCATTTACAACCAGCAAGGAATTTCCTCGCAGTTCATCACTGCTAGGGGAACAGTTTGAAAACAGATGCATTTCATGGAATTTTTGCAGGAATTTCGGGGTCAAAAACTGTTCAACTCTCTCTCGCGCGTGATATTCAGACAAGATTTGTTCCTGTTGGGACGACGAAACAGATTTGACATGCGTTGCATATATACGATGATGATGAACTACTGCATGCTGGGATCGATCGAATCGATGATACTACGTGTGATAATATATAGATTGATGCTTATAAATCATGGTTATACTGCATAATCTGCAGAGGATCGAGCTGATTAATCATGATACTACTGCTGCTAATTGAGAAGAAACTAATGGGGCCTAGAACTAATTAACTGTGATCATCATCAAGGTGAGATTTCTTCTTCTCGTTGTTCTTCTTGATCCTGAATTCCTGATGCCTCTGCGCGATCAAAGAAGCGTGTAGATGCTTCTCCTCGATCTCTTGCTGCCATCATGGTCATGGCCATGTTCATCCCCTCCGGTGGCGGCGGCCGTCGGCGTTGATGCCGCCGCCGCCGCCGGCGTGGAGGAAGTCGAGGATGACGGGGCTCCGGCACTTGGGGCAGCGCGGGTCGGCCTCGGCGAGCATGACGTAGAGGAAGCAGCGCGGGCACGCGGCGAGCACCATCGACGTCGCCTCCGGGCTGTCCGACCACTGCAGCTGCCCGCCGCCGCCGCCGTGCTGCTGCCGCAGCTCGCTCTCCGACGACAGGCACGAGCTCGGCGACGACTCGTCGTCCGCCGCCGGCGACACCGCGCGCGCCACCGCCGGCAGCGACAGGTTCAGCTTCAGGTCCAGCCCCCTCGTCATCCCCCTCCCGCCGCCGCCGCCGCCGCTCATCACAGTCACCGTCACGTACTTGCCTCGCCTGCAAATTAATCCATCGATCCATGAGCATAAACAAGGCTAATTACTGCTTAATACTACTACTACTAAGAGTGATTAATTAGGTCTAGAGAGAGAGTAAGGGAGATCTTATGTAGTACTTGATAGTCTTTTGTGATGAACTGATGATTCTCTGAAGATTTTTTCAGCTAGCTGCAGAATGACAGAGATGAGAGGATGTGGTTCTTGTGGGGAAAGAGGGATTGGGCAAGTAGAGTATTTATAGGGGGGAAATGAGCATAGAGAGAGAGGGTCTCATTTGGTTCTCTTTAAATGATTGTGCACTATGGATGAGTACTTTGATTTGACTATTATACTCATACAAAGCAAAATAGCTAATACCTTATGATTAATTTAGTTTTAATTATTATAAACTTAAAAAAGAAATTTATTTTATATTTTAAAGTAACTTCTATACATAAAATTTTCACACAAAACATACTGATTAGCACTATGAAAAGCGTGCTAGCAAAAATCGAGGTAAATTTTGTATCTTAATCAGAGAAGAACCCACCAATTAAGACACATATTTTTCCTCGATTTCCGTTAGCATTCTTTTGAAACTGGTAAACGGTTTGTTTCTTGCAAAAATAATTATATGTAGAAATTGTTTTGAAATATCAAATAAATTCCTTTTCCAAGTTTATAATAATTAAGAGTCAATTAATCATGTACTAATCACTTTCTCGTTTTGCAGACCTAACTTCATCTTCATCTTTATTGAGTAGAGTAGTACTGCAGCTGTTTATTGCTCACGTTCATGTTTCTGTCTATTGAGTAGAGTAGTGAATGGCAAAGGAAGGAAGAGGAATAGAGGATGTTGAACCTGAACAGGCTTACAGGCCTGGTGAAGGGAACTTCAGACGAGTGCCAGTTGGAAGGCCTGTCACCCGTGTGTTGTGTGACTGTGTGTGCCTGTGGTGGACCATGTGTGTGTATGGTCACACTCATCATGGTCATACGATGCATCCTCACCACAGAAATTCTTTCAGTCTCTGGCCACGAACCAAATAGCCCCTTAACACGATTGTAGCACTGTTTCGTGCTATTGGTAATAAGATGTGATTATGAATCAAACACCTTCTAATACTATCGGTAGCATAATTTTACCATATAATTATCTAATTGTAGGACATAGGTTATACTATGTTGGATGATATATGTTCTCTTTTTGTTTATTGATTGATAGCTCCAGCTAGGTTTGGAAATTGGGCAGCTTGCTAGCTAGCTGAATTAGACTGACGACCTCCGACCTTGAATGAGGCCCATCAATGGAATTTATGGGTTACAGTAGCTCCAGGGCACCAAAGTTAATGGATTTCAATGGCTGATGGATCGTCTCAGCTCTCCTTTACGTTAGCTTCTCCAAATTAGCTAGCTCATCCCTTCAATTCATGCTATGTCTATCAGATCAGCCACTCCAGCTAGCTCTTAACGCCAAGCAACTTCTTTTTTTTGAGGGGATGCCAAGCAACTTCCAGACCTCCAGAAATGGTGCAGACACAAACCTCTGCAGCTTAACAGTTACTCCCTCCCTCCTTTTCTAATTAGCCTTCTCAATCTATATCAATTATATAAAATTCATTTCGGAATTTTAGCAACATTATATATATATATATATATATATATATATATATATATATATATATATATATATATATATATATATATATATATATATATATATATATATATATATATAATTAAGCTTTTCCACTAAAATATAAATTAAAGGGTAATACATTTATTTTCATGTGAGGGGCAAAATTGTCTTTTTGATGTGATTTGTCTCGAAAATAATAAAATAATAGCTACAGTGTTTCCTAGTAAACTACGAGTAATTTTTTTACAGTGCTCTATAGTTGTTTCAATTTTTTGAGGTGTCCAACAATAAATACCACAAACTTTAAGTGTTAATTATGTAACAAATTTTTCCATACCAAAATATTTTATGAGTATATTGCGTTTAGGGCCACCTTTTATTATCAAAGTTTCATTTTGGACCACCCTTTAACACATTTTTTCACTTTGGGCTAGGTTACTTTACCTTTCTTTCACTTTGGACCACCCCATAAACTTTTTAGGAATATATAAATGACTTTTCCAATTTTAAACACATCAGCAACCCGTAACCCAGTAATCTTTTCCAACTTACACATGCAATTCTTTACAATATTATAGAGTAGATGTAACTAAAGAAAATAATTTTGGGTGGTCCAAAGTGCACCAAAGGTAATCTTACCTAGTCCAAAGTAAAAATATGAGCTAGAAGATAGCGTAAAGTGAAACTTTGGTAACAAAAGATGGACCAAAGTGCAATTAACTCATATTTTATTAACGACCAAAAAATAATTTATGAGTAAAATTTTTATATGTGTCGTTTGCGACTTAAAATTCAAAGTTTTTACAGGTGTTGTTTCTTTGTAAGCCAAACGATGAGCCTCCATAATTGCACATCGATGCAGCCTTGTTGCGATATACATGAACACCCTCTTAATTTATTGCAGACAGCCCTCAACCATAACTACGTACACGGATCATCACGGTCGAAAATATGGCCTGCTCGTCTGCGAAGATCTATAGTCCTTGCAGTGAAAAATCGGTTTTAGTATTGTTTGTCCAGCGCGATAATCAAGCAAGCCTAGCTAAATGCTGATTGACAAATCCTGAGAACAAATCTCCTAGTAATGTATAAATTATGTAGCCTGTTGCTCTTCTCGTAACTCAAATCTCTAGTAATGTATAAAAACAAATCTGTAACCTGTTGCTCTTCTCTCTTCTAATTTATCTTCTTAGGCCATCAGCAATGGGTGCCTTCGACCCGTCCCCTCGCAAACGGCCATCAACTTTTGCATCTGAGCCGTGCCCCAGGCGAGACGCGCGTTTTCTCCCAGAGGGACACGCCCCTCGGCGACTTTTGGCAGAGCAACCAGGCAAGGAGCCATGTTGTGCGCGTCGTTGCTTGTGGACACCGCTCCCCACACCCATATTCCCTTTCCACCCTTGCCAGAGCTGGAGGCGGCGCTGGCGAAGTGGACGGCGACGAGCAGAGGCGGGGAAGAGAGGGGGAAAGAGCGGATCTAGCGCCGGCGAGGTGGATGGCGATGAGTGACGGGAGGGAGAAAGTGGGAGAGAGAGAGAGAGGCGAGCGGCGGGGCGGCGACGGCACGGCCGTGCCCCGCTTGCTGCTGGCCGTCGGCCCCCTCACGCCGCCGTCCGGGGTCGCCGCCGCCGCATCCGGGGTCACTGCCGCCGCCTCCGGGGTCGCCGCCACCACCTTCCATGGGAAAGAGCGGCGGGAGAGAGAAAGGGAGAGAGAGGCGGCGACGACGGGCGACGGCGAGATCCGCCCACGACGCGCCGGATCTACCGCCTCCGAGGTCGCCGCCGCCACCTCCGGGTAGCCGCCGCATCTCCCGGGGGACGAACCCCTCGGCGACCTCATCCATCTCCGTCTTGGCCTCCTCCGCGCGGCGCCGAGAGAGAGGCAAGTGGCGGTGGTGGCGGCTGGGGAGGGCGAGGAGGGAGGTGGCGCCGGCGCTCGCGGGAGAGAGAGGGAGGGGGGAGGACGGCGATGTCGCCGAGCGGAGGGAGTGATGCCGGCGAAGAAAAAAGAAGAGGAGAGGAAAGAGCGGAAGAAAAAGTGGAGAGAGAGAGGGGGGAGAAGAGAGGGGTAGTATAGGAAAACATCTAATGTGGGTTTTTTTGTTAGGACACCCATTGTGGGCTTGAGTACCTTCATCTAGTTGCTTCAGATTTTGAGGAACTCATCTAAGGGTGTCTATTATTGCGAGCTAAGTTCCTCTACGAGTGTCCTCAGTTAGTGAGGACACTCTAGGAGTGGCTCACATTGTGGATGCCCTTAAATTATGTTTACAGCTGACTTATAGTTGTACCCGCTTTGAGAAGTCAAACCTCCTAGTAATGCATAAGAGCTAGCCAACTACCGGCTTCAATTCATCTATAACCAATCTAATAGCTCATTGCCTATAAGTATATACTACATCACTAATATATGGTCCTACATCTTATACACACAAAACGTATTAAAGTTTGTACTGCAGCTGGCTATAAATTTATAGCCCGTTTTTCTTTTCTTCTTCATATGTGCTTACAGCTGACTTATAGCCTGCTATTGTACTCGCTCTAAATGCAAGACATCGAATCCATACAGGTCATACACACGCATGCACACGCGCGCACGGTTGACTTTTTTCTAGGTTCCGTGCAGTGTGTTTGCGTCGCGTCGTCCATGCACATGTGGCCTAATTACTTCGGCATTTAAGAGACACGCACACAAGAACGAAAGTTACTGCAGCCGTAGACCATTAGATTAGATTTGATTTGATTAGATTAATATTGCGATGAAGTCCCCAAACAAACGAGAAATAAATTGATTGCCAACTTGAAGCACAGAATTAATGAAAGAAGGTTCCTGTACAGAGCCTCGGTTTGGTGAATGAAACATGTGTTGATCATTCGATCGGCTGATGCTCATATGAGTACGTACGGCACTTGTCATATTTCTTCTCATTAATTTATCAATGAGACGCACGTATACGGTATACCTCATACACACAACAATTTCTAATAACATGTTGCCAACTAAGTAAATTTGCTGAGCATATAAAAATTGTAAAAGAAGGGAAAAGAGAAATATTGTAATTTCAGTTAGCAACAGCTCAACAACGTTCACTACTTTAAAAAAAAGACATATACATAGATACCGGAACAGCTAAAACCAACACCTATAATGTTTTCTTCACCTCCACATACTGAAAAAAAAAAAAAAATCGACACCTATAAATGATTATAGGTGTTATACTTCTATAGAAATTCCGACAACAAAACTATAGGTGCATTTTTTCCCTGGACACCTATATTTTAGCTCGCTCTCTCTCTCCTCGCAGCGCCCTCCTCTCCATCCAATCCGGTGGGAGGGGAGGCGGCAGCAGTGGCGACACCCTCCCTGACATTAGGCCATTGTTAGTGTTTTTAGTGTTCTTAGTGTTTTTGGATATTCTTAGATTGGTCGTATTTTTTTAATTCGTGAAACCTCAAATATGTCGGTTCCTAAATCGGCACCTATTTCCCCTCCACATCAGTGACACCTTCTATGTGCCGGTCGGGAAACCAGCATCAATTAAGGTTTTTGCAGTAGTCGTTGTAGGCAAAAAAAAAAAAAAACACGAGAGCACCAGATAACATCAGGTATTAGTAAAGATTGATGTCAAAACATATAATTAGAATGTATTAGTAAAG